AAACAAAATTTATTTAAACACTACAGTTGAAACACTAACAAAAGAAAGCAAAATTTAGAGTAACTTAACTATTGGAAAACCTAACCAATCCAATACAGCAACTTAACTAATTAACTGTGCCAATAAAGTAACATCCCATTTACACACCCCTTGGCAAAAACGTAAATTCAAACACAGATTCTTACAGGCAGGAGGGCACAATATCCAGAGGGATATTTCAGAGAAAGTCAGGTAGGAATCAGTTACTGAAGCTTGCAACCGTCTGATGTGCTCGGTTCGCAATAAACAACTGCACCTCCCAGTCGCGAACCATTTCAACTCCCCCTCCCATTCCCCAGACGACATGTCCATCCTGGGCCTCCTGCAGTGCCACAACGATGCCACCCGAAGGTTGCAGGAACAGCAACTCATATTCCGCTTGGGAACCCTGCAGCCCAATGGTATCAATGTGGATTTCACAAGCTTCAAAATCTCCCCTCCCCCCACCGCATCCCAAAACCAGTCCAGCTCGTCCCTGCCTCCCTAACCTGTTCTTCCTCCCACCTATCCCCTCCTCCCACCTCAAGCCACACCCCCATCTCCTACTGACTAACCTCATCCTGCCCCCTTGACCTGTCCGTCCTCCCTCGACTGACCTTTCCCCTCCCTAACTCCCCACCTACACTCACCTTTACTGGCTCCATCCCCGCCTCTTCGACCTGTTTGTTTCCTCTCCACCTATCCTCTCCTCTATCCATCTTCTATCCGCCTCCCATTCTCTCCCTGTTTATTTCAGAACCCCCTTCCCCTCCCCCTTTTCTGATGAAGGGTCTAGGCCCGAAACGTCAGCCTTTCTGCTCCTATGATGCTGCTTGGCCTGCTGTGTTCATCCGGCCCTGCACCTTGTTGTCTCGGATTCTCCAGCATCTGCAGTTCCTACTATCTCAGAAAAAAATCTGAACTGGAAGAACTGGCCACTCCCCTTCCATTGTTAAACAATTACTCTTCGGTCCCTCTGCCTTTACAACCTCTCCTAAAGAAAAAAGGACAAAATAACCTTTTTAAAGTGACAGCATTGTCACAATTCCTACAACCACTTCACCACTTTGCACCGGACTCTCCAATCTTACTTTTATGTAATGGAACAGTACTTTTTTCAGCATGACTTCCACATATTACCACTTTTTCTGGCAATACTCCTTCTGAATTACATATCTCCTCATCTCTCACCGTCAAAGATTGACATGCTTCCATATCTCTTAAAATCTCCTGGAATATATGAGTAAACCTTATCCTCGCAAGAAAATTCTTTAAAGAGATCTGGCACTTTTTTGTCAACTAACCCCTGAGGAAGTTGTACATTCTGGTGCAACTTTTTAGCTTCCCCTGTGCTTTCCTTTACCACTTCAACAAAATACACAGGCTTATCCTGTTTTCCCACATCTGTCTTCCCACTGCCTTTCCTAAATCACCAACACTGTCTTCATGAGGCCTACTTTATTGCAATGAAAACACTTGAGCTTTTTTACTTCACTTTCCCCTTCATGGGTTTCTTTTTTAGCCTGTGGTAAACTATCTTTATTATCTTCAATGAGATCTCCTTTTCCCTTACAGTCCGAGGATTTCTCTTTTCCCCCAATTTCTCTCCCTCACCGACTGAACTTGATATCAGAAGCCAAGCTTTGATTTATGAACCAACTCATAATCGTCGGCCATTTCCGCTGCTAATCTTGCAGTCTTAACTCTCTGCTCTTTCACAATGGCGCAGGACATATCCATGCATGGTGATGGGAAATTGTCTGTAAGGTATGATTCCTTGACTATGTCAGGCTGTTGTTGGACTAATCTGTGAGACAGGCTGAGACAGTAGGCTATTCAATCCTTCAAACCTAGGCCAGTAGTTGTTGTCCATTCCAGAGGCAGTTAAGACTCAACCACATTGCTGTGGGTCTGGAGTCACATAAATCCAGACCAGGTAAGGATGGCAGTTTCCTTACCTAAAGAACATTAGTGAACCAGATGGGATTTTCCAACAATGGATTTGTGGTCACCTTTAGAGTCTTAATTCAAGTTTTTTTTATTGAATTCAAACTCCATCATTTGAACCCGGGTGCCCAGAACATTACCTGGGTCTCTGGATTAACAGTCTAGCAATAGTGCCACTAAGCTGTGGCCTCTGCGATTGTGGCTTCAATCGGATTGTAGCTTCAATTCCATTTTCCAGCCTACCCCAAGAACATTTTTCTCCCTTGTTAATCAGTAATAATTATATTAATCGTATTTATTTATCTATTCCAGATTTATTTAATTTAACAGAATTTAAATTTCCCAGCTGCTGCAGTGGAATTTGAACTCCTGTCTCCAGATAATCTAGTTCTTTGTTCTTCTAGCCACCAACATAATCACCATGCCACTGCATTCCACACCTTTAGTTACTATTAATTACTGCTATTTAAAATTATCAATTTTTTTCTTTGACATTTCACATAAAAGGTTGTTTGTGTTTTTTCATACCAAAACATTTTTTTTTTGAAATTCACGCTTAATATTGTGCCAGACCAGATTTCAGACAGCTGCTGTGAGATTTCTGCTTAAGAGGACTGAGACGCTGAAAAGAAGTCTGATTTTCTTGAACCAGCAAAATATGTTAATTTGGTTCCTGTAGAAATGGAAAGAACTGGAAATGCTCAAAGTCTTGCAGCATCTCTGAAGAGAGAAACAAAGATCAATGATCCTTCATCAAAACAAGTGCATACTGTGGACCAGACTAAAGTATTTATCTCTCCACAGATGCTGCAAGACCTGCTGAGCATATCCAGCATCTTCTGGTTATAGTTCAGGTTTCTAGCACTTGCAGTATTTTGCTATCCTATTGTAGGTATTGTTAGTTCCAACTTAGAATGAAAAAACATTTATCACCTAATGCAAAGTTTAGTTTTTCATTTAACAGCGTCAGTGCTTTGAATGCTGCTGTTCAGATTTGCAAAGGGCCAGGTTCAAAGTGGACCTGGTTGTATAGTATGAATGATCAAATTGTGAGCAACGACTGAGACTGAAACTTGAGCTTTTCATGTGTTTTGTAAACAGAGGTACAGACTACAATAGCCATGATGTTTTGCTAAACCTATATAAAACCTTTCAATCTCACTGTGACTATTGTTCCTAATCTTGGGCACCTGAAGGATATGAGGAAGTTTGTGGGGAGAGAAGGGGCCTGGAAACAGGGGATACATTAGAGCCAATGATTGCTATCCATAGCCCTGCTGATCAGCAAGCATGATCTTGAGGGTGAACTGGAACTTGACAACGTCTAGACTGTGAACAGGGTCTCAGAGTAAGCCATGTGTGAAGTAGGGAAGGGCCAGGTCTCATTGGTGTCACTGGGTCAATGAACATTCTTGGCAATCTCACTGAAGTCAAAGTCCCACTCACAACTATTGAACACAAACTGAGAGGCTAGGTTGTAAGGTTTGATGCCTAATGAACTCATCTCAGCATTCCAAAGTTTGATGAAATAGAAATGCTGCATAATTGCACTGGAAAGAGGTAAATGTTTTTTACCACGTAGACACGTGAGTGAAGTGCATAAACATGTACCTTGTATGTAAAATCTCAGTATCTATAAAATGTGTGTAAAACCACATCTGTAATTGGTCAGCAAGTTCTAGTGGGTGACTTAATATATGCTGACATTCAGAGGATGGAGATTTAAGTGCTAGTGGGTACAAGAAGAGAGAGATCCAACCAGTCAGCTGTTTACACTGATGAAGTCACAGTGAGGGGCAGATCAGACAAAACACAAATACTAATAAAAAATAAGTTAGACAAAGGAGGCATGTATGTTTCCATTTGTGGAATCTTCTTGGTATGATAATGATCGTTGGAACTATATTGTCTATGTGTTTACTAAAGGAACATAGCGAAAAATCTCCAGGATCTCAGTGCACTTCTGCTCACACGGTGGGTGTGTGTGTGTGTGTGGGTGGGTGGGTGGGTGTGTGTGTGGGTGTGGTGGTTGTGGGGGTGGTTAGTTGTTGTAACTTTGAGACATAATGTAAAGGAATGATATTGGATCAGTTGCCTCTCAGACATTCCCCTCATTTTCATTTTGCCTAAAGGCAATGTGATATCGTTCATCTTATACTGTCACAAAAATAACTTTAATTTGCCATATTTGGACTGGAACAGTTGGAGAAACTTGTAGTGGTGTAACATTTTCATGGGCAGCTTGGGGGTTCAAATCAGTTTCAGTAATGAAATTAACACTTGTATAAATTGAAGAAACAGAATTTGTTACACTTAAGGAAAGTATTATGTACACTTTTGATCAAATAATTGAAAATGTTTGAAATAGGAATGGAAAGTCAGTCAACTTGTGGAGAGAACAACCATAGCAATTCTTCTCCAGGCCTGGACAAATGAACAGAGCAAAGGATAGAGCAACAAAAAGAAAGAATTTCTATGCACCTATGTTCGGCTGTGGCTGGACTCCAATAAGAATTCTGTTTGCTGTTACAGACGTTTCTTGAGAGTGTTCTTTTCAGCTGATGGCTTTTCAGCTTTAAAGCATTGATATGGATTCTTAAAAAATGGTTTGCAACAGTTGCTGCAGGATATTAAGAATTTGACAGGATATCTTTGAGTGAGGGCTGACCTAATGAATATTTATTGGCCATTTACAATAATCACAAGACAGGATTTCATCAGAATCTTTCTTGGGTTCCAGATACATGTGATCTAACATCAGCTACTGACCATCAGCATAATAGCTAATTAACCACTTATACTATTCAAATACTCTGGGTGTGAAAGATCCTGAGCACACTCTGAAAGAGGGCTGGGGTCCATAAAAAACTTTTGGCTGATAATCTGTCAAGAAATAAACAGTTTGATGTAACTATAAGTTATGAAAGTCCAGGCAATAGGTATAATGCAAATCTTTTAATTAACTGAAACAAGCAACCAATATAATAATTGGATTTTGATACAAAGCAAATCCTGCCCAGGATCAATTTGCAGGAATAAAATAAATGGTTTTACATGGTCTGAGAAGTAAAATGCATGACATGGTGTAAATTTAGAAAATAAGCTTTACTAAGTATTATTCAGCAGCTTAAAACTTAATAGTTGCTTTACAAAAAAAAACAGCTCCTGGAATTAATTAAAAATTATTTGTTATATCTATTAACGAAGTACTCAATTGTGTCTTTGAGTTAATTGATGAAAGAAATATTTGTATGCATGTTAGGAATAAATGTAAAAGGAAGGTTAAAACAAACTAATTTAAATAAATTGTTATCAACTACATGTACCAAATTGTGTAAACATTGTAAAGGTACAGGAATTTACTCGAATTCCAAGAAAGAAATTAACCACTTGAACAGACTCCCATACTTTAATGTGTAGCCAACTGCAGGATTGAATATGTGTTCCAGCTGCTCCAGGGTATCATAGGAGAGGTCAAATGGAACCTATTATGAAAATAAATGAAGTTAAGACAATGTGCAAAATAGTTAGATACTATTATAAATTTCTGTGTTATGTTTGTTATAAGATTATAGGAAAGACAGCAAAAAAATTGGTATGTAAAACTTATGGCAGTTATTCGGTAAGACATTGACGGAGCATGTTGCATGGCTGGCTGATGCCTAATAGTTGCCTTGCTATTGAGACAGGACAGAGGACAGAAGAAAGTGAATAAAAAAACTTCACTCAGTTTCCCTACTTATAGTAATATATGATCTGTTCAATATTGTAAAATATTGTGTAAACACTACAATGTGTTGACCTGTGCTACTTATTTCGGGTTGCCACATTGGAACCCTTTTTCAAGAAATTAATTTTACACACCAAACCATTCTTAGATATTATTCTAGAGATAGTAGGAACTGCAGATGCTGAAGAATCTGAGAGGGTTTAGGCCCGAAACGTCAGCCTTCCTGTTCCTATGATGCTGTTTGGCCTGCTGTGTTCATCCAGCTCTACACCTTGTTATCTTAGATATTATTCTAATTTATTTATTTTATGATTAAATGTACCCCAATTCCTTCTTAAAGGTAAATCAAACATTAACTCTAGGACATGTCTAATTCCATATCCTACACTATAAATTGTTGCATTCTAGGCATAGAATGTGAAGTCCTAGCCAAAGAAAATTATACACTATTAAATCCACTCTATAGTATGTGTTATTATGCATCATAATCCATTCCTGAACACACTACATTTCCAGGTCATTCTAAATGATACATTATTATGTTTACGAGCTGCAGCTTTATCCTACATGTCCATCCTTCATTTGGGGGAAGAAACAATTTTGCTTGAGGCATGTCAATTTTACCCTGATTTTCTGCATTGTAGTAATACTGAATATATTACAAATGGAATCAAAAACATCATTATAAATGAAGTAGAAATGTATGTGTTAAGACCAGAAGAGATAAGAGCTGAAGTAGATCATTCAGCTCATCGAATCTGCTCTGCCATATCTGATAATCCACAACACTACTTTCCTGCTTTTTTCCCATAAACCTTCATTCCCTTACCGATTAAAAATCTGTCTATCCCAGCTTTGAATATTCTTGATGACCTGGTCTCCATAGCCCTCTGCAGTAAAGTGATTCATTACTCTCTGACAGAGGAAATTCCTTCTTATCTCAGTCCTAACATGGTGATCCTTTTCTCTGAGATTATGCTTTCTGGTCCAAGACTATTCCACAAGGGAAACAACCCGTTTGATTCTACCCTGAAGGCCTCTGAGAATGTTTTCAAAAAATTTGTTTCTTATTCTTCTAAACCTGAACAAGTACAGAGCCAATCTTCTTAGCCTCTCATAAGATAGTCTATCCATCCCTGGTATCAGATTTGTGAACCTTCTTTGGAGTAGAAATAGGAATAGGCTATTCAGCCCCTCAAACCACGAATGAGATCATGCCTGATCTGTGGCTTAACTCCACATACCTGCCTTTGGCCCATATCTCACATTTAAAATTAACCTCTGAACAAGCATCCACTGCTTTTTGTGGAAGAGAGTCCACTTTTTGTGTAGAAGTGTTTCCCAACATCTCTCCTGAAATGGTCTGGCCCCAATTCTCAGACAATCCCCAGTCAATAGTAATAGTTTATCTTTATCTACCCTGTCTTTTCCTGTTAACATCATGAAGACTTCGATCAGATCACCCCTTAACCTTCTAAGTTCTAGAGAAAGCAGGCCCAATTTATATAATCTCTACTCATAACTTAATCCCTGAAGACCAGGTGACATTCTTATACACCTATGTCGTACTCACTCCAAGGTCAGTATATCTTTCCTAATGTATGGTGCCCAGATCGTAGAGTAATACAGCACAGAAACAGGCCCTTTCGCCCACTATGCCTGTGCTGACCGACAAATACCAAATTACAGTAATCCCATTTAGCTGCACTTGGTCCATAGCCCACTATGCCCTGGCAAGATCTGCAATGCCAATATATCTTTCTGACATAAGGGACTTAAAACTGCTCCAGATGTGGTCTTGTGTGGTTTTGGCATGACTTCCCTTTTATTGTACTCCAATCCATTTGAAATAAAGGCCAGAAGTGTATTTGCCTTCCCAAATGCCTACTAAATTTGTAAACTAGCTTTTTGAGATTCATACATGAAGACTCCTAAACCTCTCTATGCTATAATTTTCTGCAGTTTTTCTCAATTTAAATAATATTCAGCTACTGTATTCTTTCAGCCAGACTGTATTACAAGTTCTCACTTTCATTCTGTTTGCCAAGATTTTCTCCTCTTGCCCATCCTGACTATATCCCTCGGAGGTTGATTAGCTCAGTTGGCTGAATGCCTGGTTTGTGATATCTATGATGCAGATACCAACAACATAGGCTGAATTCCTATGTTTGCTGAGTTTGCCATGAAGTATTCACCTTCTCATTCTCCCCCTTTCCTGAGGCATCGTGACCCTTACATTGAACCCTGTACAGCCCTATGGTCTGGTAGGATTTTACATTTACCTACATCCCTCTGCAGACTCTGTGCCATCCTCACCACTTATTTTTATGTCATCCACAAACTTAGCTATAGTACATTCACTTTCCTCATCCAAGTCATTAAATACATATGTAAATAATTATGGGCCCAGCACTGATTCTTGTGGCTGCCATCCTGAAAATGCCACCCTTATCCCAACTCTGTCTTCAGTTCGTTAGCCAATCAGTGCTAATACACTACCCTCAACACCATGGGCTCTTGTCAAACATCTCCTGGAAATCCAAATATATTAGATCTATTGGTTCTCTTTAATCTATCCTGTTACCTCCTCAAAGAACTGTAATATGTTTGTCAGGCATGATTTCCCTTTCATGAAGCCATGCTGATTCTGCTTGATTATATTATGTGATTCTAAATGCTTTGCTATTGCATCCTTTATAATAGACTGTAACATTTTCCCCAATAACAGATGTTAAGCTGACTGCCCTATAGTTATTTATTTTGTCTCCTTCCCTTTTTGAATAAAGTTGTTACATCAGCAGTTTTCCAATCATAGAATCCCCTACCGTGTGGAAGTAGGCTATTTGGTCCATTGATAAGACAACAACCCTCCAAATAGCATCCCACCCAGTTCACCCTAACCCTGTCACCCCGCATTTCCCCTGGCTAATCCACCTAAGCCTGCATATCCCTGGACATTATAGGCAATTTAGATCAATCCACCTAATCTGTGGGAGGAAACTGGAGCACCCAGAGAAAACCCACACAGACACAGGTAGAATGTGCAAACTCCACACAGATAGTCGCCTAAGGGTGGAATTGAACCTGGTTCCCTGGTGCTGTGAGGCAGCAGTGCTAACGACTGAGCCAGTAAGCTGCCCCTCTGGTACTTTTCTAGAATATAAGGATTCCTGGAAAATTACGACCAGTGCAATCTCTCTAGCTATCTCTCTAGCTACTTCTTTCAATAGAAGTTGCTGGAAAAGCTCAGTAGGTCTGGCAGCATCTGTGACGAAAAATCAGAGTTGACATTTCAGATCCGGTGACCCTTCCTCAGAACTGAGCTGAACCAATCCTGAGGAAGGGTTAATGGACCTGAAATATCAACTCTGATTTTTCTTCACAGATACTGTCAGACCTGCTGACCTTTTCCAGCAACTTCTGTTTTTATTCCTGATTTACAGCAGCCGCGGTTCTTTTGGTTTTTCCTTCTTTTGGTAAACTAGGACACATTCCATCAACTCAAAGGGTTTTGGACCCATTTGTTTCTGTCCCTCTGGATATTACTTGCAAGTTTACTCTAAAAGTTTAATTTCTGCCTCTTTGTTTTTGGACATCTTTTGTTTGTTTTTGAAATTTTCCAATTCCTCTGGTTTGCCACCTTGAAATTTTTTTTCTTTCAATTTGATGCTTCCCTGGTTAACCATAGTTGGCTTATCACTTTCCTACTATCCTGCTTTCTCACTGAGATATATCTTTGTTGTGAGCCATGAACTATTTTCTTAAACATCTGCCATTGTTCATCAACCAAGTCTTTGCTACTAAATTATTTTCCTAGTTCACTGTTGCCAGCTCTGCCCTTGTTCCTTTGTAATTACTCTTGGCATGATTGATTTTATTGTCACATGTACTGAAATACAGTGAAAAGCTTTGTTTGAGTGGTATAGGCAGATTGCAGCAAGCAAAGGATGTACAGATCAAAAAGACTTAGAGGCGTACAGGTTACATCATTTGAGGCTCAAGTCCATTCAACAGTCTGATAACAGCCGGAAAGAAGCTGTTCTTGAACCTGCTCGTAAGTATGTTCAGGCTTCTGCATCTTCTGCTTGATGGAAGAGGTTGTAGGATGGGTCTTTGATGATGTTGGCCGCCTTTCCAGATAAATCTGGATCAGACCTTCAAGGTTAGATTTTCATGGAGATGGCCTGACTCCAGGGACCTTTAAAAGTATCAAAAGGGACCTAGGTATTGATGTCCTGCATTCATTTCCATTTTGATTGAGAGTTCTAAGAAGTAGTAAAATAATTATTTGTCTTTGATGTGGTGACTGGTGTTTATAACAGATTGATCACTTGGACAATTTAAAACCTTTGAATAGATTTAACGAATAGCAATTTCTTTTTCAGATCTTGAGGTCCATCCATGGTGGATCTTGGTTGAACGGCTGTAGAGGTGGCATTGGGATTTGAGGTGGCATGGCGAGGAAAGGATGGAAGTAACATGGAAGGTGAGGTCCAAAGGCCAGAAGTCCCACAGCCTTTCATAAAATGAGCAATAGTCTCAGATGATTGAAGTGGACCTTCAAAGCAGCTTCACCCACTTCTGTGGCCAGCTGTAATATGGCTCCAGAGGCAGCATGTCCAACTCAATCATATCCCCAATCATACACACAATTGTTCCCATTTACGTGGTGAAAATCTACACCGTTCCCACCCGAAAAGTGTCAATGTATGACATATCACTGGAGAGACTTGTGATTTTCAATCTGGAAAGAAAACTTCTAAGATGTAAGCTTATAGAGGGATGCAAGACAGTTAAAGGCAGAGTAGAAAGTAACCTGTACAAAACATGATGTGTGTTCCTGACAGTGAAACTAATGGCCTGGCAGCGTGCAGTGGAAAGATATGGGCCCTGTTGTTGGGGAAGCTTTCCATTGGTGAAGCCTGTTGTCAATCAACAATGTAGCAAGGTATGAGAAGGTATGATATAAAGTCTCTTGGACAAACAGGGAGGCTGTGCATTGCTCCACAACTTTCCTATCCATCTCCATTGGTCAGTGTTTTGTTCCAATTCTTGTTGCATTCCATCATTACCTTCAGCTCTATTCAAACTTCTCCCTCCATCATTTGCCCTCTTACTGTTCTTTTTTGCTCTGGGACCTCTACTTCTCATCCAGATCCCTTCAACATTCCTTCACATGTAGATGTCTGACTTTAAACAGAGTATCTCCACAAGTTCAGCGATGTCGCCTGCAGGTTCACCTTCAGATGTCTGTGATATTCCTTCAGATGGCATCAGAGGATCCTCCCAACTGGCCAAGTCAGCCGAAATGAAGATGGCAGAGGAGACAGATTTAAAGGTATTCTGCAAGGGACAATGGAAGAGCTCGTTCTACATCCTAGGAAAGCAATGTGATCTTGTACAGAATCTACACAGAGGCATGCCCATGTATTCTGGCTGCCATAGGAAAAAAAACTCAGGTCAAAACCTTTAAAAAGATGAACATTTTACCACCTAGACACAATGACAGGTGATAGAAAACCTATTTAAGGAAAAAAGGATAGTGAGGAGTTGAAGACCATGGAATCACCAGATTGAACCTTGCAATGGGAAATCCAATTGATTATGGTCGAAGGATTTGAGTGAAGAGGATAATTTTTTTCTGAACGGACAATGGAAGATTCATCCTAGAGAAACAGGGAGAAGAAATCCTGTTAAAGTCGAACCGTCACTATCTGAACAATGGGCTGAGAATGGGAGAGACCACACCCAGAATTCTGTATGTAATTTTGGCCTCCATAATTTAGAAAGGAGATACTTTTATTGGAGGCAATTGGTTTACTAGATTAGTCCCTAAGATGAGATATTTCTGAGGATTTTTCTTTTACGTTTGGACCCAACTATGGAACCCCTTCTGGCAATGTTGATGACTTCAATTCATACAGTCTAATTGGAGGATGCAGCAGGAAGGGAACTTTTTACTCTAATATGGCTCAGCATTCTCAATGGATAATGGTTCTCATGGAAGCGGTTAGTAAAGCTACCATTTTCTTTGAAGCAGAGAAACACTGCCAAATCTGAAAATGAATTCCAGAAATAATTTCTCATAACAAATAACTTTTTTTTTGGTGACTGTACCTCTGTCTCAATCTTCATTTCTGATCCAGGAACAAACAATTCTTTTATTTCTTTGCATAACTGCAAAACCATATCCTATAAAATAGATGGAAACATTTAAAAGTTGTCAAATCAACTCTGATTACTATCCCAATATAATAAAACCACTGCATATTCTGGAGATCTGAAACAAAAACAGAAATTGCTGGCAAAACTCAGCAGGTGTAGCATCATCTGCAGGAAGAAAACAGAGTTAATGTTTCAAGTCCGGTGACTCTTCATCAGTTTCAATGACTTAGACAATGGGAGCAAAAGCATGGTGGCTAAATCACAGATGAAGCAAAACAAGTGGGAAAGTATGAAGAGAAACAGAAGTTGCTGGAAAATCTCAGCTGGTCTGGCAGCATCAGTGAAGAGAAATCAAGAGTTAATATTTCAGGTCCAGTGACCCTTCTTCAGTACTGTTCCTGAATACAGCATCCGCAGTTCTTTCTGTTTTTAAGTAGGAAAGTACGTTGTGAAGAAGACAAGGTAATGCAGACAGATACAGATAGGTTGAGTGAGCGGGCAGAAATCTGAAAGATTGAGTATTGATATTTTATATTCAGCCTGATCAGAGATGTTTCAGCAAACTTTGTTTTAACTGACACCTTATGAGCCAGCACTCTCAATAAACGAGCAAAAAATATATATCCGAAAAACCAGACGTTTACTCTATTATCGCATTCTCCGTGATGTCTGAGTAGTCAATTGTAGGTGTAAGTGAGAAGATTCTCTACTGGTAAGTTTTATGTAAGGCAAAGTTGCATTATTGTTTATGATTTATTGTTGTAAATAAAGTATAACAGTGATGTATATACCCCCTGCATAACATTTCAAATATTTAGTTTGTGTTTTTTACATTGATTATGTGGACCTACTAGCATATTTGATCAACTGGCACATTCCTGGTCCCATACGTACCGGTTAGTAAAAGGTATGCTGCATTACACACCTCCTGGACCAGGTAGGATTTAAACCTGGGCCTCCTGGCTAAAAGGTAAGGATACTACCACTGTGCCACAAGAGCCCAATGAATTGAGTATATTGTTGGAAAATGTGAAGTTGTTCACTTTGGTAAGAAGAATAAAAAGAAAACAGTATTACTTAAATGGAGAATGACTGCAGAATTCAAAGGTTCAGAAGGATTTAAGTGTTCTGGTGCATGAGTCACAAAAAAGTTGAAGGTACAGTATGTCGTTAAGAAGGCTAATGAGATACTATCCTTTATTATGAGAGGAATTGAACATAAAAGTATGGTTATTATGCTTCTGTTATATAGGAAATTGGTAAGAGCACATAGACTGTGTGCAAGTTTGGTCTCCACATTTAAGGAAAGTCAAATGTATTGGAAGTGGTTCAGAAAAAATTTACAAGACTGATACCTGGAACAAGTACGTTGTCTTATGAGGATAGGTTGGATGGGTTGTGCTTGTTTCCATTGAAGTTTAGAAGAGTGAGGGTGGGTTACTTGATTGTAGTGTACAAGATCCTGAAAAGTCTTGATAATGTGGACTGGAAAGGATGTTTCCTCTTGTGGGTCAGTTCAAAACTTAAGGACACTGCTTTAAAATTAGGAGTCGCCCTTTAAGGACAGAAATGAGGAGAATGTTTTTCTCTTAGAGGATTGTGCTACTTTGGAACTCTGTGGCTCAGAAGGCAGAGGCAGGTTCAAAGAATATTTTTAAGATAAAGGTGAATAGATTCTTGTTAGGTAGAAAATTCATGTGCTATTGGGAGTAGATGGGGATGTGGAATTTGAAACACGAACAGATGAGCCACAATCGTACTGAATGGTGGAGCAGGCTTGAGTGGCTGAATGCTCTATTTCTGCTCCTATTCTGTATGTTTGTAATGTACTGGGAGATGCTAGGGCCTTATTTTTCTAAACACAAGTCAAAGTGGTATGGTTGAAAATAAAATCTTAGCCTGTGTTTGTTTTGAAAAATATCTCTTTGCTTCAATGGATAATAAAATGAAGCTGTAAGTATTTCAATATTGATTGTTTCTCGATTCATTTCTAGGTTTTATATTTCTATATTTTCCAATTGCTGCAGTTGTATCTTGGGTATGAAGTAGGTACAGTAGAATGGATGCAACCCAACACTTGTTGACTGTACTTGTTAGCTGTTGCTGCATTGTTCTTAAGATCTTTTTAGGTGGTTACTGGTGTATGCATTAATTTAAATGCTAAAATGAGGGTCCTGCGCCTAAAAATTAACTTATTTCCCAATGTAGAAATGGATTGGCTGAGTCTTGACCAGAAATTCATTGCTGTAATTTTTTGCTGAGTTGAACTGGGAACATAATTTTTGCGAGATCCTGCACTCAGTCACAGAATTCTTTTCCAAAAGTTTTGGAAGGTGGCTATTTGGGTTTGGTTAATTTAGGGCTGAGTCATTGCAAGCGAGTGGTGGAGGCAACAAGGAAGGCGGTAACGGGCTGCACTCAGCTGGAGGAGGACTGACACCAGCAGACTATACAGGAATTGGATCTCCTACCTCAGCTTTACAATATATCAAGTAGCTCCATTCTTCTGGGATTCGAGGCCTGATCTCTGCCATGTGCTGGATCAGAAATTACAGCATCAGAACATCTATGCACTGCCTGAGGCTGTGAAGGCACCTGTGATCCAAATTTTGAAATATGGCTTTAGGCTGAGGACTACAATTCCTGCCATGCTGTGGGAACTCTGACAAATATGCAATGTGGGACAGGCCAGGTGTACTCAGACAACCATTCTGGTTTTGCCTTTAACAGCAACTGCAGACACGGGTATTCTTGCAGACTGGTGGGGTGTGAAAAGGAGACCCCAGGATAAGGAAAAGGCATGCAAGGTGAGCCCATGGGACTGGGAGTGTTCTATAGCAAAGCAAGAAACTCTGTACCAAAAAGGTGCTGCTGTGGGAATCTCCAGGCAATTCGGGGTTGAAGAAGTCCTGAAAGCCAGCAGGTGTAGTGAAGCATTGGGGTTAGGGATTAGCAAAGTCCCTGGGAGCAGTCTAGAGCATTGGGAGGTTAGAAGAAGGCCTGACAGCCGTTAATAATTCAATGCAGCCGAGAGTGGGGTAAAAGAATCTGACATTTGCCTGACACAGCTGAAAAGTATTGCACTTCAAAGAAATCCAGGATCAATGTCAGCTTAATGAAGCTTGCCGTCTGCATAAGAGCTGGAATTGCGCCCACAAGTAAGTGCTGGAGTGTAAAATTTGCAATCCTCTACACTACAGTTTCAGGGGAAAGAATTGAACCACCAGGACATGAACAGTTATTTAAGCAGTTTAAAGCTACATCTTTGAAAGTGACGAGTTAGAATCCCTTGTAAAGGAAACAAATGTTTATAGAACATTGAACAGTACAGCACAGGAACAGGCCTTTTGGCCCACAATGCTGTGCCAAACATGACGCCAAATTAAACTATTCCTTGCATATTCATATGCTTATATAAAAGCCCCTTAAACACCCCTATCGTATCTACCTCCACTGCAACCCCTGGCAGCATATTCCAAGCATCTGCCACTCTCTGTAAAAAAAAACTTGCCTGGCACATCTCCTTTGAACTTTTCCCCGCTTAGCTTAAATGCATGTGCTCTAGTATTAGACTCTGGGAAAAAGATTTTGACTGTAAACCCTATCCATGCCTCTCTTAATTTTATTTACTTCTATCAAGTCTCTCCTCAGCCTCCACCGCTCCAGAGGAAACAACCCTAGTTTGTCTAGCCTCTGCTTTATAGCTCATACCCTCTAAACCAGGCAGAATCCTGGTAAACCTCTTCTGTACCCCCTCCAAAGCCTCCACATCCTTCCTGTAATCTGGCGACCAGAATTGAATGCAATGAGTGTGGCCTTACAAAGTTTTATAAAACTGCAACATGACTTTCCAACGCTTGGACTCATTGCCACAACCAATATAGGCAAGCATGCGATATGCCTTCTTTACCACCCTATCTACTTGAATGGCCACTTTCAGGGCGCTATGGACTTGGATCCCCCAAGATCCCTCTGTACATCAGTGCTCTTCAGGATCCTGTCATTAACTGTATACTTTCCCTTAACATTTGATCTTCCAAACTGCAGCACCGCACATGTGCCTAGATTAAACTCCACTTGCCATTTCTCCACTCATATCTGCATCTGATCTATATCTGCTGTATCCTTTGACAACCTTCTACATTATCCACAGCTCCACCGTTGTCTGCAAACTTACTAACCTACCCATCTACGTTTTCATCCAAGTCATTTATATAAATCACAAACAGCAGAGCTCCCAGTACGGATCCCTATGGAACACCACTAGTCCAGCCAGAAAAACATCCTTTTACCACTACCCTCTGCCTTCTATGGGCAAGCCAATTCTGAATCCAAATGGCCAAGTCACCGTAGATACCATGCATCTTAATCTTCTGGATGAACCTGCCATGCGGGGTGTTGTTGAAAGTCTTACTAAAATCTATGTAGATAACATCCTCTGCTTTCAAAAAGCTCCTCACAAAATAAGTTTTCAAGTATCTCTCTGACCACATTCCTAATCAGTGCTGCAGCTTGGGTATATCTTATCATGTTAATGGTACTAACTAAGTCTAAGTGGAGAGTGTTGTTCTCTCAGCAGTACCAGCTATTCCACAGTGGTAGCTTGCCTTCGTGGCTTAATCTGGATAGAAAATAGTCAAATGTATCTGTATTAACACCGATAAATACTAAATTGGCACATGTAGTTGTTTTTAAGGCAAAGCAGTATGCTTCACCAGTAGAGTGATTTTGCTACCTCTCTTGGAAATGATAATCATGGTCATTTATACAGCATTATCACCAGTATTATCAATTTCACAGCTAATGTAACTTTATGATATTAACAACAACATATTAAGAAGTAGCTTTGTTATTCTAATGCTTGTTTTGACTTACTTCCAGTGTCGCGGGTAGTTTTCTAACATTTGTTGCAGGTTCATTTCGAATATACCTTTGCCTCAGTCTGTGGTGAGTGTACTGCAATGAAGTGGACAGTGCATATTCTGGTTGCAAATATGCCTCAGCCTTTTGTTTTAATGCAGAAAGTTTTCTCTGTAATGCAAGAAGTCTAAAAAGGATGGGGAAACACAAACTATGAGAGGCTGTAGGAACACATGATGGTAAAAACATTTACTTGTGTAAACCTAGGCTATAACTCTATTTAGCTCAATTCTCATCGGAAAGTCTCATTTCCTTCATGTTCAAACCTTTCAGATTGGTTTCACAGGTCGGCGCAACATCGAGGACCGAAGGGCCTGTACTGTGCTGTAATGTTCTATGTTCAGACTCACCACTACCTCCCCCGACAAGATGAAGTGAAAATGGTGAGGGCGAGAAGCTAATCAACTTCTCTGCCTTCAGTATTAATACTGTTAAGTTCTTCTACCAACATCCTCAATAACAGTAAGAATACTTGCTTTTAATAAAGCCTCAAGTGTCTTGAGACAATAGTTATTAAAACAAGTTACTAGTATAATTTTTGTGACGCTACCAGCAAACATCATCCGTTCCATAATCTATAGGGAAGAGATGTGTCCATGTCATAAGCTCCTGACCAGAAATATGACCAAACAGCACAAGCTTTATTGCCATCTTGATCCAGGCAGGCAGGGCCCTGTGGTCACTGTCCCCTGATGGGTTTTACCCAACATTTGCCTTGCGGATTCACAGAATTGTTACAGGGCTGAAGAAGCCCATTCAGCCCGTTGAATCTCTGCCAATTCTCAGAATCAGTAAAATGACCCCTGTCTTTACACCATAACACTGCATCTTGTTTCTATTTAAATAACCATCTAATGCCCTCTTGAATGCCTCAATTAAACCTACCTGTACCACTTAACTACTACTAAGCAGTTCATTTGTTATGCCTCATTTGGTGCCCTGATTCTGGAGCCTCACTACATCTGGAGTCATCTCAAAAGTTAAGATTTAATCAAAGTATGCAAAGTTCCCAGTTTCCCTACCTGATGTTTTCGGGTAATAGAATACACTGACCACATTTCTAAACTTAAAAAGAGCAACTGTTTGTTACAAATAAATAAGATTTGGCACAGGTAAACAAAACTGTGAACTATCAGCATGTAACTCTACTACTTAAACTGTAACCACCTTTTCAAGCCCACTCACAGATAAACAATTACATAAGAAAAACATTGGTGTTATGAATGGAAGAAAAAAGTCTAGGAAATACAGGTCAATAGCATCAGTCAGCAGGCGTTGATATGGTGTTCCTCTTGTTTCACAAGACCTTCTATTCTTTGATCCACTTTGTCCAGATTCTATCACTTCTTCACAAGAGGCACAGGGTGATTGGTCCACTAATTACAAAGTCTCTTTGTTACCAATTATAGGCAACAGCTTACAAAATATAGCTGACTTTCTTCAGGCTCCTGATACTTTTACTGCAGAGACACAGGCAGATAAGCTACTCTTCTAAGAGTCTTGAGGCTTCTCACCTTCTTTTGTAAACCCCTAATATGAATCACTCACTGTGCGCGTGTGCAACACAGACACACACACACACCCTCTACCACTGCTTACACAGCAACATTGTAAACACAACGCACAATGAGTTACTTAAAAGATTCCTCCCAGTTTATTTGCTTGGACTAGGGAGGCAATTTTATGATTCTTTTCCAAGTCTGCTGGATTCTGACAGGCTATTTTTTTCAGTTCAAACAACTCTTAAAACTTAGAAACTCTAAAGACTAACATATTTTGGCTATGGTTACTAGTTCCCCTGAATTAAGAGCTTGATTCTCCTTCTAAACTCCTGATTCTTGTGAACTGAGATTTTGAACCTTCAGTTCTGATCAAAGCTAAATTAATAGCTTCCTATTCTGTTGTAAACTTAGCAAAATAAGCTTTCCATGTACTTCCAGGCACTTGACTGCAGTCATATACTTTCTTGAAATTGATGCACTTAGGTCATTGTTGTCCTAACATCCATCTGCCTCTACATTAAAATCCAAATCTCAATATATTATGTACATATTATACTCCTTTCATGACAATGCTTACAAAAATATATTTAATACCGTTTTAAATGAATCCATTTGTATCCACAGGAAGCGTTAGTTAATGTACTTGTCTTGAGGCTGACCAGCGTGACTGGTTTCACATTGTACGCAAACATAAGTAAAATCTGAAAAAAAAAAATTTAAAATGTTCTAATTTTTTGTGTCCTCATTTGTAGATGATATTTATATTATCATTTTTAAAATCCTGTTTAAAATCTCTGCAACCACTATCATCTTACAACTAGTGAACTAGGTTCTTATATTTCCCTACCAGCTTCATGGTCTTACATAATACTCCATGTCCACGTGGTGCAGATTGCCATTCAAATTGCATTTTGGGGCATTTATCTACATGGCCTAAAAGGACTATTATGTTAGTCTATACAGGGATATTACTATGAAGTTGTAACACAGTCTACAAAAAGCCATGTTGGTTCCTGCTTGGAAAAAAACAACTTACTTTGCATGTTAAAGAATGTCAATTTATTTAGTATATCCTAATGCTTGTGACACCCTTTCACCACTACCCTCTGCCTTCTCTGAACAACCCAGGTCTGAATCCAAATGGCCAAGTCACCGTGGACACCATGCATCCTAATCTTATATCCTTCAGTCAAATCAGCATTATTCTTCTAAACTACAGTGGAAGTGAGCCAAGCTGTCCAACCTACCTACCACACTCACTGTGCTAAAAATTAAACCAGAAACTAAGTTAAGATCAGTAGCCAGGCCTGCAGAGTGATGCATTTGCTCATGCTAGAAGCTACATATGTAAATTCTCAGGACCTTGCTTTAAGGAGGGTAAAGGAATTTGTATATACATTGCACCTATTTCAAAAACAGGGGATCATGGAGGCAGCCAAACTCTGCTGTATCCACAGAGTAACACCCTGGTAAATCAAAATCTACCCCTGGTTTTAGAATCAAGATTTACGGTTAACCATTCTTGCTGCATCTCAATCTCAATTGTTCTGTACTACCAAGCAACTAGTTGCTAAATTTGTTCAAAATCAATCTTATTCAGCCCAATGGTAGTGCCACACAACATGATGGAGGATATCCTCAATGTGAATGTGGGGCTTTGTCTCCAAAAGCACTGTGTGGCATTCACTCTTACTTGTCCTATTATGGACAGATGCATCTTTGACAGGTTGATTGGTGAGGATGAGTACAAGCATGTTTCTGCTCTCGTTGATGCACTTAAGACCTTTTGCCAACTTAGTTTAGCAACTATGTTCTTTAGGATTCAGCCAGCTCAGTCAGTAGTGGTGTTACTTGAGCCACTCTTCTCAGAGTGCATTTACTTGCCATAGTTAGCGCTTCCTCCATGGGATGCTGTAAAGGGAGGAGTACTGATTCATCAGTTGCTCCGGAGTTAGGCATTTTTGAAAAGTGCTATAAAATATGCTAACAGTTAAGCTATCTGATGGTGGACTGACTAAGGCAAGTGCTTTACTATTCACCTGCTGCATTCCTAGACTTGCTGGTGTGATCTTCACCCAGAAACAACTTTTTACTCCAATTTCCAATGGTCCTAGCAGACTACTCTTGTTCTACCTACACAATGACTCCTATAATGGATACATAACTTGTTGTGCAAATAGTAAATGGATACTTAAATTGTTGTGTACGTAATAAATAATTCATGCCACATTACCACAAATTTGATGCAATTTTCTGTATGAAACTCCAGGGCCTAAAACTGTGTTTGATCCACCTTGTTTGCTATTCTTATTACCTTATAGGTTTCACAACTTGGAGGAGGTAATGCCAGAGCAGGCAGGTACCATTGGACCCGTAGCTCTTTGTCTTTAGAATGCACTGCCACACTCATCTGAGGGGTAAGTTGACCAACAAAACTGTCCGTCGGTGTTGTCAGCATATATTCTCCAAAGACACTTGTATAAATCTACAACATAACATAATTAATGTATAATTAATAAACATTGATGTCTCTGCTTGTGTTTGAAATTTATCAATAGAAAAATGCCAAAGCAGTGACACTAAATATAGTTGTTGATTGTTTTAAAACCATTAATTTAACCTCAAAGATTGAAAACAAATTCTGGAAATCACTGAGCAAATGGTTGACTGAAAAATATGGGAATGATGGGAAACTGGATACTGATATAACGTCAGAAAATTTAAGAGCTGCTACAATTATGCTGTGTAACTTTGTAAATGGGTATACATTCAGACCTTACAATCTCTGGATAGTCAGAGGCCAGACGTACTCCAAATGATGTACATTAGGACTGTTGAGATGGACCAGTTATTGTGTCAGGAAGTTTAAACATCTGATCTGGACCCCTCTGAAGAAGTCCCCAACTCCGAGTTACAGTCTGAGATGTCATATGGTTCCAATTAACCTACCTGGACATTTCGCCATGGGAAGTTAGAGGAAATATAAACTGGCCTAACCCCTGCCCAATCACTCATACTTTGCACCCTCCCACAGACACCAACTCCCTACCATCCCGAACTCAGACAATGGTTCCACCCACACTTGACCCACACTCCCCTCCTACCCTGCCCCCACTCCTAAACTGACCCAACTCCCTCAAAATCTCTACCTACACCCACAGGATCTAGCCAAAACTGACTATCTATGCTCAAGGACCCCTCCCCCCTACCCCTCCAACATCAAACCTGAGCTGAGACCACCCTCCCAACTTTGGACCCGACACCCTAATACTGTCCTGACTCCATCCAACCCCTAACCACAACACTTGGCCAGATATGACTAGCTCCCAATCCAGCTCCCTACTCCCCCATTCTGCCTCACCATCTTTCCACTCTACGCACCCTATCATACTACCCCCTTGCCACCCAACCACCTTACCCACTTATCTGACTCAAACTCATTCACTAACATACTGAAAAGCGTTTAAATATCCCATAGTTTTGTAATGTGTAAGTGAATAAATGAATTTATCAGACCATGGCAGTTAATGGTGTAAAAAGGGCATAGTTTGACTTCCCCAACTACACTGAGATTCAGCTGGATAAAAAACATACTGCACATTTCAGATACCTCTGGCATCAGACATTGGTGCCATAAATACCAGGGACACAGTAAAAAAAAAGTAGGTATGAGAGCAGCAACCTGATGGTAGTGGATATAAGGCATGAGGTGGCGTGGATCGGGGGTTGGAAAGGGTGGGGGGTAGAGTGGGGTAAGGGCTGGCGGAATCTTATATCTTTATTCTGTATTTTTAAATGGTGGCCACCATTTGGGATCCCCTGTTGGGTCTTCCAGTCAGCCCATCTCTGCACCCCCAGCCTTTACAGATCTTTTAGGGTTGCCCACTCCAATTTCTAATCCAGTCCTTCCCAAGAACCAAAAATTAGAAGCACAGGTAACTATTTTTAAAGATGGGTTCACAGAGACAGCAATCCTCCCAACTCTCTGCACTTGACCTAGGAGCAAAAGACCAGGCCACAGTCTTCAACTAAATCTGCTGATTTGAAACAATCTCCTCCAATGAGGACAATGGCCTAGTGGTATTATCAGTGGACTGTTAACATCCTGGGGACTTGGGTTCAAATCCCACTATGGCAGATGGTGGAATTTGAATTCAATAAATATCTGGAATTAAGAATCCATTGTCGATTATTGAAAAAACCCATCTGGTTCACTAATGTCCTTCAGGGAAGGAAATTTGTCATCCTCACCTGGTTTGGCCTACATGTGATTCCAGATCCACAGCAATGTGGTTGGCTCTTAACTGCCCTCTGGGCAATTAGGGATGGGCATTAAATGCTGCCTAGTCAACAATGCCCTCATCCCGTGCACTGAAGTCACTTTTAGCAGTATGCTGTCTGTGAGCTGAGAGTATGTAGGAGACCGGGGTGGGTGGCTGTTATTGTGCAGAGATTCTGTACTTATGAACATGAAGGCCCAGGTTCAAGTCCTACTTGTTCCAAAGGTGTACAATTAACATTTCTGACCAGGTTGATGAAAAAGACTTACAATAGACTAGGTTACACCAAAGAATAACTAGCCTTATATCTGTGCTGCCTGATGTCATTGAGTCTGACTGCGCAGCAATCACTTAAAATTAAACTGTAAAAAATAACATCACAGAAAGTGCTAATCGGCAGCTAGGTTTTTATTTATTGACCTGTACTAAAAATTTATATAGCCTTTGTAAGCCATTCTTTCTCTTTGGAAAATTCACTATAAATTATTACAAACATAAACTTTACCTCAGGCTGGAATTGCGAGAATCTGAAACTGTCGTCAAAAATTTCATACAGGATTATAGGAATAAGCTCAGCACAGCAATTATTTTTATATGTAGGTAGGTAGTTCTTTAAAAATGAATGCATTAGTCCCAGGCGTGGACAAAGATCTGTGTCGAACACAGGTGTATGAGCTCCATCTCCAAAATCTTTTATAGCACACTTCAGGAAATCTGTATCGACTGAAACAACATATTTATGAATTAAATTTTAAAATACAAGTAAAGTTTCTCAATCACTCATAACTAAAGATCTTTTACTACTCCACTATTAGCTTACAATGCACCTATTTAGGACGTTTGATGCACGGTGGTTGTATCCCTGTCAGAAGGGACTGAGTTCAAGTCCCACCTGCTCCTGAGGTGTATCATAACATCTCTGAGCAGGTTGATTAGAAAATATGTACAGTACACTCGTGACTAGTGTCAACTGCAATACTTTTGGTCCTGTAACAAATCTTTACATTGCACACATTAATAACTGATTTTATATTCACCAGTCACTTTGAACTAGCAACATACAATAACAAGTGAGTAAAATAAATTTTAAATGTAGGGAAGCAGATGCTGTCATAATTGCTACACTGCACATTCACATTGTCAGGCTAACTCTTGGGTCTGGGCTTGAATTTGCCAAGAAATTCCATTCCTTGCCAAGTGTATATAAACTAAACGAATTGAATCACCTTCTCAAGCTGCTGTAATACATGTGTGTAGATATATTCACATTGCTGTCAAGAAGGGAGTTCCAAATTTCTGGCACAGTGACAGTTAAAGGAAAGATGATACCACTCCAAGTCAGGATAGTGTGTGGTTGATGGTGGATTTCCTCTGCTGCTCTCTCTCATCTGGAATGTAGAGGTCACTGATTCGAAGGTGATTGTGTTTTAGCGAATACAGCTGTCTTAAAGAGGGTGGAGCTGATAATGATTGGGATGCAATGGCAAGCAATACATGGAAACTGTTGAACGTGATCTTGGATTTAAAGAAAATGTAAGTAGCTAGGGACCTAGAGAGTGGTCATGAATCTAAAGCAGCTGGAAGTTCCTTCCTTCGCAGAGAGAAGATTAACAGGAGACTTAGAATCATAGAATTATGCAATACAAGAGGGGCCCTTTGGCCTATCAAGTCTGTACTACCAAAACTATACTAAATCTACACCAGTCCCTCTTACTAGTACTAGGCCCATAGCCATGAATGTTATGAAATTTCAAGTGCTTATCCAAGTACTTTTTAAAGATTGAGGTTACCCACCTCAACTACCTTCCCAGACATTCCAGAACCCCTATTGCTGATGTGAGACTCACTGGTCTGTAATTCCCTAGTTTATCTCTACCACCTTCTTGAAAAGTGGGACCATATTGGCTGTCTCCAGCCGGCAGTGAGAGAGACTGTCTGTGTGTCAGTGAGTGAAGACAATGTGTGCAAGTGAGCCTGTGAGCCAGATGCAACATTATCCCTTCCCTCCACAAAACCCTATCCACACACTGGGCCAGGAGAGGAAGAATAACCAGGATCCAACAAAGAAGAATCTAACCATCACCTGCTGAAATTCCACCAGCAACATCCTGGGGTCTACTATTTACCAAAAACTGAATTGAACTCACCATATAAATACTGTGGTTACAAGAACAGGGCATAGGCTAGGAATCCCGCAACAAGTAACTTACCTTCTGTCACCAGAAGTCTGTCTACCATTTCTAAGGAAGACTGTACACTGTCCTGGATGGTCAGCTCGACAAAACTGAAGAAACTTGATACCATCCAGGACAAAGCAGCTTTCTTGATTGGCACTCCATCCACCACTTTCAGCATTCACTCCCTTCACCACCAATGCACAGTGCAGCAACAAGATGCAGCACAACAGCCTACCAAGCTTCCTTCAACAGCACCTTCCAAACACAAGACCTCTACCACCTGGTCAGCAAGATCAACAGGTGCATGAGCAATTTTAAGTTCTTTTTATGATCTGAAATGTACTGAAAACATTAGTGTAAACATTGAAAAGACAATTAGATCTATACTTGAGTGAGAAGAATTTTTAAAGGGATGTTGCCAAAGAGCAGGGGATAGAAAGCTCTTCCAATGAGCCAACAAAGGCACAATGAGCTAAATAGTTTCTTTAGAGTATTTATATGGACGGCAATGTTTGAGGACAGAATGGCAGTCAGTTAATGGAACAAATAGTTTGGGCAGCAAAGATGGAGATTGAAATCACAGAGGATGAGGAATATTTTAGTGGGGAGGTTGAAGGAGGAAAGTAGGGTGGGAAACAGAAAGTTGGGCTGTGAGATTAAAGAGCAAGGACTTTTAAAAAAGACAGAGTATCAGAGGAATATCAGAGTGATTAGGTGCAAAGGGCTAAAAACACTATTCCAGAAGCTTAGGAAAGGCAGCTGCTGGAAATCCGACCAGGGGTAAGAGCTTGTTCAAGGCAAAACCATCATTGCACAATGAGCCACATTTCAGAAAAAGCCGGTGATAACACAACCATTTACGAAAATCTAAAAGCCTCTGTCCCTCTTGAAGGGAATATAATGAAGGGAAAGGCAAAGAAGAGACCTAGAAAGACCAAGGGATAAAAACAAGTTAGTTATAGACCGATGATGGCTTTGCACCACTCTTGCATAGCCCACACAATTGTGCACACAATTTCCATACCTAAGCATCCAGGGGATTAACACTGAGCAATGAAAACTGTGGGGTTACAAATTGACGACTAGTAAAGGAACCAGACAGAATGAACTTATCCCTGGTTTATGACTCCTATGTTATTAGAAAGAGAAAAATTTAGTTTGATGAATCCATGCTAAAATTCTAATGCTAATCACAAGAAACTCACAGAAAAACAGATTAAACCGAAACCAAATTAGAAAAATATTGCCTATGAAATCAGTTGAATTCAAAATAGGTGTTGAAGATATTTATGGATTTGCGTTATTAAATATGGAATCTGCAGATTGTTCATTCATCAGTAGATATTGTGAGACTATGTGTTTCCATCTACCTCCATGCATTTGTGCCTCAGAAGGTTCAGTAAAAGGAATCTTGGGATCAGGGTAGTTTGGCCCTTCGCCGTTCACATTTTCAACTGTACTTCGAACTAAGAAGAGGTAAACACAATGAATTTATTATCAAATTATCAACTATGTTTTCAAATAAAAAACAATGCTATTTATTGTAAAATGTATTAATTATCCTTCTTAGAATTTGCACATTCTTGCTAATCTAGCCAATCTGTCTAATATCCCTTTATGTTTGCCACTGGTAAATAGCTTAAAGTGGTTTGAACTTAATGTTATAACCAAGTGAGAAGGGATTAAATAGCTCATCTTTCAGGCTCTTCACTTGGTCACAACAGATGCTTAAGTTCTTTGTATTGTGAGATTATAATTCTCTCTGATTAAAAGGTGGTTAAAAAGCAGTAAGGAGCCAAACACAAGGGGCTGAATCTTATGTTTTTCTTTAGTGGTGTGAATTGCATTGAATTTTTTGGAGGGATTCTCACTGCAAGGCCCAGTGGGATTTTTCATCATATCTTACCAAATTTACCTCATTAACTACGTACCCTGCTCCTATGGCATTGCTTATATCTAATTTTATCCCCACCTTCTCATGCACTGCTCTCAGAACAACTTACCACCCCACCTCCAAAAGACTAATAACCCCTACACCTGCATCATTTTAAAGGCCCATTCTGCACTTGGATAAGCGCTATCAGTTTGGAGTTGCCCACCACATTTACCGATGTTTACCCTGGGTATGGTAGATGTGATGAAATTAGAATCCTTTTTTGAGGGTGAAGTTCTGGTGATGGGGTGGTGCAAACGTGGGATTTCTTCTTCCACCAGCACCGGCAGTGGAAGCCATGCCCAACTTGATCCAAAGTTGCTACCCAGGTCAATTCAGTCTCAGCTGTCTGGAGGAATACTCAGTACTGTAGGAAGAGGGTCAATGTCCTTCTTCACTCCACCAGCATAAGTGCCACTATCTTCTTTCTGATAGTTTACACGGACTCTAAGCCTGCTACTGCACTCTCCCACAAAGGTTCACGTTCTACCACTCTCACTAGTGCTTGAACCACCTTCCAATTTGCTGATGACACCACCATAGTGGGTCAGATTTCAAACAATGACAAGACAGAGCTTAGTGGCATGGTATAAAGACAACAATCTCTCCCTCAATGCCAGCAAAACAAAGGAGCTGGTCATTAACTTCAGGAAGCAGAGTGGAAGACATGCTCCTGTCTGTATCAATGGCGCTGAGGTGGAGGTAGTCAAGAGCTTCAAGTTCCTAGGAGTAAATATCACCAACAATCCATCCTGGTCCATCCACCTCGACGCTACAATCAAGAAAGCACACCAATGCCTCTACTTCATCAGAATGTTAAGGAAATTTGGCATGTCCAAAATGACTTTTACCAAGTTTTATAGATGCACCATAGAAAGCGACCTATCCTGGTGCATACAGCTTGGTATGGCAACTGCTCTGCCCAAGACCACAAGAAATTACAGACAGTTGTGAACGCAGCCCAGTCCGTCATGAAAACCAGCCTTCCTTCTATAGACTCCATCTATTCTTCCTGCTGCCTCGGGAAAGCAGCCAACATAATCAAAGACCCCTCCCACCCTGGTTATACTCTCTCCCACCCCTTCCATCAAGTAGAAGATACAAAAGTTTGAAAATATATACCAGCAGATTCAAGAACAGCTTGTTCCCCACTGTTATCAGACTTATGACTGGACCTTTCATACATCAGTGTTGATCTTGCTCCACACCTTCTCTGTAACTGTAACACAATGTTCTGCATTCTGTTCTATTAACTTGATATCCTTATGTAAGGTATGATTTGTCTGGCCAGTGTATAAAACAATACTTTTCACTGTATCTTGGTACATGTGACAAATCAAATCATACTCTCTCACCCACGCCAACTCCAACACCATTAACCCTGCATACCATCTGCACTGCCTGCTCACCACTCAGGACACCTCAACACATGAACCAAAAGTAACAGCTGTACCACCCAATTTCACTTCCCATAATACCTGCCTTCCTCTCATTACAGGAGTATAATGGCTCACAATATGGCAGAAAGACTTAAAGTGAGCAGTGGGCTGTCTGATATTCAGCTCCTCCCGATTATGTGGACAAAAACCTGACTTTGACTGCTCCTCATAGCTGACTGACCAAGTCCAAGCTCCTGTCAGCCTCTGGCTGCCCTTGACTTACCGTGCCAGAACACCCAGAGCAAAGGCTATCCTCCTTGACTTGACTGGTCTGCTGACAACCAAAGTAAATTTTCTGGCTTTGTGCCTGCACAAAGACAAGGCAATACAAGACAGGGATGCTGTGAGCATCCAAATAGGCTCAGAGTGAGTGAGTGTTATGACTGTGAGTGAAAAGCCCAGAGATGCAGCCTGGCCTAGTCCTCGAGCTGGGAGTCTGTCCCTGAGCACAGAGTCCTTTCAGAAGAATTATCATGGTAATTGCCGGTGCAGCATGGAAGGGCAAAACTGTCCTGTAAGTGAATTGGAGATGTATCATCAGGGTTTTTAAGAGGTTGGCAGACGCCAATGTCTGTGGATGTGGGATATGTGTGGAGCATGTGCTGAATTGTCGGTGCCTGGATTACAGCATGGAGGTTATTTGGAACAAACTTTTGGCACCCAACAACTGTAGCAAGATGCTCCCAAAATCAAGTAAGGACTGGGTAGACTATTTGCCCGATTCTGCAACAAACCTCACTATTGCCCACATCAACCCCTATAAAATTCCATGTCCAGCTCCGCATTCTTAATTCCAGTTCTCTTGGTCTGCCAAAAAATTCCTTGAAATAGAAGCTGGTTGTGTTTTCCATGTTTCTGGTGTTTATTGTCTCCAAGCTGACCAGGAAGAGGAACTTGTCACGCTTACTATGGGGTCTAGTTGACTGAGTTCAATGCTTTTGTAGAATTTTATTTAATTGGTCCATTCCATGTCAGTTTTATGAAACTTAGCCAACCTGTGAGGGCCGTGTGATTTCTGTGGCCATTTTTAAGTCAGTGCATTTGTCTATGAAAGTCACAAGTATTAAATTGACTGATGGAAATCATAGATCAGTAGTCTATATTTTATATTATTACAGTACCTCTCACGAGGAATGAACTGTGAACAATATTTCTTCCTTTTGTTTATAGTAAATGTTACATTACCAGGTTGGGATAAATAAAGGAAAATGTACTCACACACTCATAATCCACATTCACTCTCTTTGCCTTAAACTAGATTTAAAACTTGATTTGGGAGTGTTAGTATGCAAATTTGACTTATTCACTGAGCTGTGCTGCCTCTCTGAATTTTAACCCTTCACTGTCAGTTCTATAAGGTTGTACTTGATCCAGGTATTTGTACAAATTTGACTTCAAAGTTAGTGGCTAGTAATCTGAGATTCCCCTTCTGTGGAGTGTCTGCCCCTCACTCTCATTGAACTTTACATCAACCACATCAGTTGTGGTTTGAAATGTACTTCTGTTGTTTTGATCTTCCAGTGGGTCACTCTATTTTAACTAATTGATATACTCATTGATATACTCTTGTGATCTCCACTGCTGGTGTCTACTGTGGGGTATGATCTCTACCCTTTTCCCTGTGTATTAGGAATGGGCATTTTTTAAAATTGGGTCTGTTCCATTTTCCATGGAAAACTGCTGCCACAGGTGGATGTTCAGCTTCTGCTATATGCCCCAGGGACTCTTCCACTAAGATAACAAGGTATGGAGCTGGATGAATACAGCAGGCCAAGCAGCATCAGAGGAGCAGGAAGGCTGACGTTTCGGGCCTAGACCCTTCTGAAGAACGTCA